AAAGTCCGTAGGCCCCGCTGTGTTGGAAAAGATCCGCGACGCTGTCGAGTTCGGCCGTTTCCCAATGAAGGGGCCGACGAGAGCTTTGTAGAGCAGTCTTCCGGTTCGCCTTTTGATTTCTCCAGGTGGTGGCGGCATCGACCTTGGACACAGAAAAACATTTATTCTAAAAATTACAACAGGAACTCATTTTTTTGATTCAGAACACTCTTCAAAGCTTTGACATTCTCATGTGCAGCATCTGACGGAAAGATTTTCTTTCTTTTCTAAAATATAAATCAGACGCTTAATATTTTATCTGGCGATTTAACATAACTTAAATACGTATTTTTTTTTTCCTCCTCTCAAGAATATAGATGATACCACAGCGCAAGTCAAGTCAGGATTGGTGTACGTTTATAACATAATTATGTGCTCCAAGGTATTCACGAGGAATTATATTTCTCGCAACGTGAGTGCACTTCATCACCACACATGATTGAGGACATGAAGCCCTGAGTTCTGCATCTCTAACCGACTCAAATTATTTATAACATCCCTCACTTCTTTGCCGTCCTTTTGTATTATATCAATATCATTCCTCTATGAACTTTAGAAAATAACTGAGCGTTACGTGACAGAAAGAGAATAATTTTTTTAAGTTTTTTGAAATACAAATTTGAAAAGTGTGTTTGAATCCCAGCGCGCCCTGCGCACGTTATGGACACAACGTTGGGACTTTGGATCTGCCTTCATGTCCGCCACGATGGGTTCTTGGCATCTCTCATGGATCGGATTGGGGAGCAGCAGAAGCAGCAGCAGAGGACGAGGAGCTGCCCCCGAGCGGGAAAGATTAAGAAATCATCCGAAAGCTCGTAACATGGCGAGAGGTTCATGAGAGCAAAGTCCGATCATGCAGCAGCTGGCTCGGGTTCGGACCACGTGTTGCAGTTGGTGAATCGATGAGCTCCCTCTAGGGAACCGACTGCAACCGCGAACATGCAAGAGCCATCCATGGCGTTTGCAAAAGATCTGCCGGTCGGTCATTTTGGATTCATAGTGGAGGTGGGATGTTGTTAGGAAGGGACCTCTGCTGATGGCCTATGAGAACATCGCTGAGGCAATCGACGGGCAGGTCCAAAGTATCAAAGAGGCCTCTTTGATACGACAGGAGGGTATGGGTTGGATGGGGATAAAACACTCTGGCTGCTGTCGCAGCAGGGTCGTATGAGATCTCCATTCTTGGACGATGTGAAATTTCATAAGATGCCAGACGACATTTTTTTGTGAAGTCGTCACGAGAAAGATTGCACGAGGCACAATGTTGTGAGGCTTCTCAGGTCATTTTCATGCTATCGTAGTGCAACCTTGTCATAGTAGAGTCAGCCTCCCTCACTGCCCATTGGGTCGCAAGTTGTTTTGCATGTTTTTCCTTCATTTGCAGTCAGGTTGCACCAATCGCAGCCAAATATTAATCCGTACATGGGAACCATCATGCCAGACAAAACTCAAGTAGTGCGTGCGTCTCCCTCATGGAACCCTCCCTCTGCACTTGTTGTAACGAAACGATTTTGGACGGGGTTATCAAAACAGATCCTCAGACAACTGGATGATTCTATCTCTTCCGCCCGCCTATACCTGGACTTCATCACAACCCACGAAGCTCACGAAGCAAACGACTAACCGTGTCTTCCATGTAGGCGAGAGACCTCAAACAATGTACTAAATGCATGCCGATGTCGACAAAGATATTTAGTATTGGCTAAGAGCAAGAGCAGCACGGAGCTTGTGGGAAGACGTCAATATCGAGAATGACTCCGAATTGGCAAATTTTGCCTGGAGTTAGCCGACGAATTCGTTCATACTCTATTTGAGTGAATCAGAGAGTATTTTAACCCACTGTAACATAATCCCAATTTGAAATTTAATGTAGAAGTTAGTGTTAGCATCGTGCGTCTCATGTGATCTTCTGCTTTAAGAGCAGGTTTAGAGCATAAGATACACAACTTCTCACTGGCAAGTGTGCGAGGTTGCATGTTGTTGTCGACGATCTGGAGTCGTTGCGATTTGTCCAACAGTGCTCGATATCATGTGAACATTCTCCTGAGACAGAATCGAAACGTGTGGATCTCAGTTCATTCGATCAGTTTTTACTCACTGTAACGGTCCAAGTGTTGCAAAGAAGAGGGACACATTGCAGGATCTGCATGCTATTGTCGGTCCACAGTTGCGAGATCTTCATGTATTCCCATGTAATGCAATGCAACCATTGTTACGGTTAGATGCACATGATAATCTATCTCCTCATTTTGTGGCAACAGAGTAGTTGGAAATAGATATGTCTGCGTACACCCAGTTTACCTGCTGCTCACCTTGAGCCTGTCTGGAAGGTGTGATCGCTGAGATTGAGATGAGTTCCGTTCTTAAAACTTTACGTCTCATGCAAGCACTTAATAGCAGATAGATAACCCAAAGATTATGCCTCCTTGATAACGTCATCATGCGACAGAGATCCTTTGAATTGAAGTGCACCTCCTACAAGTTCCTTGTGGTTCAAATCCATAGATGTAATGAAATGCGTGACTCAACGATCCACTCTTCAAGGAGTCCATGGACGAATGGTGACGAATTCCTAGAGTGGTCCTTCCTATACGAGGAAAGTGGCATCTTGGCATGCGATATTTCTCTCTCACATGGTGCCCTATGGCCCAACCTGAGGACAGAAGAAGAGTATTACCTTCCGAGATGGCCATGCACGAGGTATGGATCCGACGTCATGCGATTGACCAAGGGAGTCCACTGATAATGGTGAAAGTGAAAATAGAGGAATCTGTCCACACAATTTGACGTTAGCTACAGCGCTTTGAACCTTGAACGAGATCCATTGGAGCTCAGGAGTCGGGATAGACTCACAACAATTTGCCATCCATGGCGGATGGATGTCTGTGAACCATACCTTTATCTCTTCGGTTGATGCCCTCCCGGACGCAAATATTCCGATTGAACTTAAATAGACGACCTTTTGAGATGTTGACCATATCTTTTCCAACGTGGAACATCTAAATTTGCTACTGATATTCGGAACACAGATATCATAGCTCCTCGATGCTTTTCCCTACAACCTATCCATGGTGACAGCATGCCTTTTTCGCAGTGAGGCCAAATCTTGCGCTTAATTCCGCTCATGATGGAATTGATTAATTCCTGGAAAGCGGTTTCCAGTATTGGGGATGATGATGGCTTCCTATTACACCACAAAGGCCTAAATTAAGAATCTTCTTATTATACCAATCTTTCTCCATTTTTTTGTAATATAAATGAACCCGTGGCCCGAAGATTCTATAAATTATCTTCTTCTGTCAACTACGACTTCTGTCTTGGATTCTATTGCTCCCTGTACGCTAAGTTCCTAACACAGTAATCTCCTTTCACCTTCGCATGTTTTCTACAGAGTTTCTGTTAATTGTACGGAGAATCAAGGAATGCTGATTAGACCATCATCATCTTCACATCTATGGGGGTTGTCCTCGACTTGTTTCAGTCGAGTGTTAGCTGCAGAGAAAGCGTCCGGTAAAATCTCCCAACGTTGGGTAGGATGCAATTACTTCGTCGTAGGTGCGGAAAGAGCACGATTTCAGACTTTCCTAGTGCATGAGCGAAGATTAGCTCATCGATCCTGTAACTTTATATCCAAAGAGACGTATTGGATCTGGAGCGGGTTCTGAAGCTTTTTCGAACCCGCGGATTAAAGTCTCGTGCAACTCGTGGAGCCTGCGGATGTGAGAAGAACGCAGTAAAGGACAAACTCCCAAAGTCATCCCCGCAGAATTACCCGAGGCAAGATCAGGCGACAGAAGCAGCGCCGAATCTAAGACGAGCTCTAATCACAACTGTCGCACGGTAAATTACTGAGGCCGTCCTCTTTCTGGGTGTAGGCTGGTCCCAAAAACCGGATCCCGTCCCCTCGAGACGCCAGAACACGAGTGCGCACTGCTGCACAAGCCCTTCCTGCTGTCCTGGACGTGATTGCACAAAAGACTGAACCACATCAACCTCAGTCACACAGATTTCCTGGTCCCATAAACAAATCCACCGTCGCAGCAGAGCGACCGGCCTCCATCTGCCGAAACCATGCGTCCGTAGGGGCCGAAGAGCGGCCAACGCTTAATAAACAATTCTTGTCAACTGTCTCGCGCAAGTTGGAACTTGTTCTTTGCACCGAAACTTCAGTCAAGTGACCACATCGTCGAGCAATCGGCTCGGAGAGACGAGACAATGTGCATGGCAGATACTCATTGTGACGAGACAAATTTTGCCATCCTGGACAGAGAAAATAGCAGATCGGATCCGCGAGGGGCGAGGGCCAGCGCTGGGGGGAATAAGCCGCTGGCTGTGCACGACACCGGAAAGAATCGGGTATAATATCGGCCCCGTGCGCTCCCGGCCGGGGCTGACAGATAGACGCGGCCCCTAGGAACTATTCTACTTTAGCGGCTCCTACCGTCGCATAGATCTTCCGCCAGGTGGGGCCGCGGGGGGACGGAGGTTGGGAGGCTTAAGTTGGCTTGAAATTCAAAAAATTCAGCAGCCCCTCTAGCACGCGTCGCGCGTCGCGCAGTACGGAAGAGGAGAGCGTCGAAGAGCGTTGGGGGAGGGAGCGGGGGCCGCCAAATCTGGCGCCGAATGAGCGCGCCCGGGCGCCGGTATTCCCGCGGCCAGGAGTTTCAGCCTGCAGTCTGTGCTGGAGCCCGGCCTCGGGAGCATCCGAAGCGAATGCGGATGAGATTCGCTCTCGGGTCCGATCCGGTCCGGTCCCGACCCGTACCGTCCCATTTCGGCCCGGCCCGGCTCGGCTCGTCGGAGGGTGCGAGGGCGAGTGGCGATTGGAAGGAGGTCCGGGACCGGTCCCGCTCCGGAAGCGTCGTTGGCCGCAGCGACGTCGGCAGCGGCAGGCGGAGCGAGGCGTCGAGGGAGGGAGGGAGGGAGCGCGGGCAGCAATCAAAGCGCAGCACATTCTGTGGCGACGGCCGCAGGATGTGGAAGTCGCGGACAAAGGAGCGAGTGCATTCGTCGGCATTATTTGTGGACGATTGATTGTCGATGGCAATGTACGGAGCCCGAGGCTTTGATCCACAATCGCCAGATACTCCCTTCCCCTTCATCGCCCCCGATTTCTTGCTTGCTCGCTCGCTTGCTTGCTTGCTTGCTGCCTTTCTCGCGCTGCAGCGCAGGGTCAGCTTGCGTAGCTGTAGGCACTAGAGCCTTTTGATGTGGGCTCGTCTGGCTGACTCCGGTGACCCGAGACGAGCAGCCTCGCGCATTGAGGGACTCAGAGAGGAGAGGGAGGTAGAGGCAGTGGACTGCGAGAGGACCACCTTTCTCATACTAAACTGGTGGCTTTGAGGAACGAGCTTTAAGGTTGCAGAGACTAATTTTCGCAATTGCCGCCCTGTTTAGCATGTAGGCGTCTAATCCTGCGTCATTTGAATGCTTGAGGCTTGAGCGCGCGCGTGGTGCTTGGATGCTTGGATGGTGGCATTACCTTTCTCTAGCTTATCCGGGCAGAGTAGGGAGCGCTCGGTTGAAGACCGGGAGGCTTTGTTGCTTCTTTCGGCGGGTGAGAATCTGAGTTCTAAGGTTTTGGATACCAATTCCCTTCTTCTCGGATGCCGCTTGCGTTCGAAGAGCCATCGCTCTCCCGAAGTGAAAGAGGTGGAAGCGAGCAGCAGGTGTTTCGAGCTACGCCGGGGCACGTGTCTGAGCTCAAATGCGATTGTCGGCCTGATCGATTTGAATTTACGCTCCGAATCTTGGCGCATGGATTTGCCATGAACCGAGTATGCTGTACTCTTTGTGTCGTTGAGTACAGAGCGAACTGATTGCGTCTACGGCTGAAGGTCTCAAATTCGCCGGGAGTACCCCCTACAGTCTTCCTGAACCTTCCTGCCGTAGGCGCCTTCCCCGGTGCAGGTGTCTAAGCTAGGAATTCGCTAGGGAGCTCACCGGGCTAAACGAGGGAACGGCATTGTTTTGAGGGTGCGGACTTCGAGATACAGGAGTGTCTGGCATGAAGACCCCGTCGTTTTACGATGAACACATGAAAACCTTCGAAGGAATGCGTCATAAGGTGAATGTGCTCATGACAGGAAGCTCACTGCACCGAGGCTTAGCGCAGCTGTGAGGGTCTGCTGCCTGGAATCTACACGCTCCTAGCGTGTGCACGGGACGACAGGGGTTGCCAATGTCGGATTAGTAGCCTCGTGTTCGTCTGCGTACTGGAATGATATAGGATGATTCACAAATCACGTCTCTTAGATCTAGGAACGGAAGAGCCGGATGCAGAAGTCTGAAGTGCATCTAAGGTTCCACTAGAGGGTTCCCTCAGGAAGTCAGGATCCTTCTCCAGGCCGGATTATGACAACTGTCGGACTGAGCTTCAAAGGGATGAAGGATACTGTGTTCTTACCCTCAAACGAGTCGTCTGGTCTAGTGAAGGCCCTACTGGAACTAGACGATTCTCCAACCGGCAGTGATGAGGAATTTCTAGATTTCCAATTCAAAATAGCAGACGCCAAAGCTCGTGAGCGAGAGGCCTCCGAACAGCTTTCGGATTGGAGAGCTGCTTTCGCGAATCTTCAGGTATGGATACCAGCCGCTACATGCACTTCAGCGGTCAAAATTCGCCCTTCAACACCCCCATTCGCCCCCAACTACTATGCCGTTCTGAGACCGTGCTCACGATCCCCCCCCCTCCACGTTCACTTCTGTTTAGCTCGATACTCGATGTGAGTAACAGCTTAATTAAATAATTCCTCTTCTGAAAACGCGACTTCCGGGTCGAGGTGGATGGGCACCTAAATATATACTCGAGTCTCCAACGTATGTGCTGGACCACTGGAAACCCTCGAGGCTTCCTCCGACATGTTGCTCGAAGAGCGTATCAGAGCGGAGTCCCACAGCTGGCCGCCTCCGAAGTTCGTGCTCGTAACTAGATGATTGCGCTCCTGACGACGTGAAACACACTTCCAACATCTTCTTCTAGCTCTACGGACCCCACAGTTTTTTTTTTGGGGCGATTTGTGTCTGCACTTGCGTATATGTGATAGACATTGAGCTGTATGTATACAGAGAGAGAGAGGGGGAACGAGAGATAGAGATAGAGATAGAGTCTTTCTTCCCCCTGAGGCGTGAGGGTTTGGTGAGAGGCGCTTATGATGCTCAGTCCGCTCAACGCGCTAGTCCTGAACGGCCGTCGCCATCATGCGTCCTACGTCTGATCGATGTACGACTACGGGAATCGGAGACCGAGAGCATGTCCATGGCCAAAAGTCTGTTCTCCCCATTTCTCTCGGGCCACCGAGTGACCGGTAGAACTTCCCGATAGCTTGTGATGGGACAAACGCGTCACTGTTGGATCGCCAGGTTTCGCCGTGAGTCTCGACCATCACGCTGGGATCGCGCGATTTATGACTAGGAGTTTGAAAGTTCTGTAGCTGCCACCCCTGCGACCCTGTGGTCTTGTTCATTTGTAGCGGGCGGGATTGCTCTCCTTCTCCGCGCTCTCTGGCTTTCCTGGCTCTAGCGGTACTTACTTCACCTCTTGTCCGCAGTTGAGGCAGGCTCAAGAGATCGCTGAATTCGCACTTCATCAGCGCAATGAGGATGAGCAACGGAACGCGCAGCAGACCGTGGAACTGAGCGAGTTGCGTTCATCTCTGCAGGTAGTACTAAGTTTTGTTTGCGTTCTCTGTGCCTCCGAACTCTAGTTGCAAACCCATCCGGGCCACGTCAAGTCTCGTACCTCGGGGATACCATACTCGGACTGTGTGTGAGGTGTTTTGCGCGTCTTCGCGCGTACAGAGTGTTGATCATTTCCCTCAAGAAGAGCAATTGATCTGTTTGTGCAGCTCAAAGTTCGTATGGTTGTGAGAATTGATCGAATCACTTCAGTAGGTCTTCAAACTTGGTCATTATCTAACATCCGTGGACATGGTTTGGGATCTGGCAGGCGTGTGAGCTCGAGCTCGAGCGGGTTAAAGCGGAAAACGCAGGTCTGCTTCAACACAAGTCCGAGTTGGAAAAGGATTTCGAGCAGGAGCTTAGATACAGTGAAAACCTTCGACAGAACGTAAGTTTTACTGCCTTTTCTCATTCGACCGTCAATCACCTAGCAATTGGAGTGACGCGAGCACAATCAGCTGACTTCCGGTATCTGGAAATGGCACGTCGAACCTCTCACGGATGTGAACAGTCTCCGGGATGATGAACATCATTACATCCCCCAATTACTTTGAGATTACAGACGCATAGATTTGCAACATGTGTATCTATAGTTACTTGTTTGTTTGGTATCTAACGATCATCTTCCTCGGGTTTTTGATAGGGTAGAGGTGTGTGTATATATGGTCAATGATCTCTCTTCTTCGTTCTTGCATCAGATCAATGAGCACAACCACATGCAAGAGCGGTTGGTACATGAAAATCTGGAGTTAAAGAGGGCTTTGGATGAAGCCACAGTAACGACGGGGAGGCTGAAAGAAGCTCTGGTGGAGAAAGCATCGGAATTGTCGGCTTGGCTTGGACTGGATGGAATCAACATACAAGCGATTCCGTCTTCAATCTTGGACGAGAAGACTTCTTTGAATCGGGAAGAAAAGAAAGCGTGCAACGCCCATGGTGAGGATAGCCAAGGATTCGATACAAGTGAGAAAAGTGGTGCGATGAGGTCTCAAGACGCGAACGAACGCACTGACTCGTCCCGGGTAACCGACGAAGCCACGACTTCGGTGCAGTGCGGTGCCGCAAGCACGAGTGCTTCCTTGGATGATGATTGTGCAGACATGAAGCACGAGGTTCCCAGTGAGCGGTTGCCATCGCCTAGAGAGACCACCGTCAGAAATGCAAACGACTCGCATCGGTGTAAAGGGCTCTCAGTTCGTGACCTAATTGCCGAAGAAAGAAAGTCGTTTGAGCATGACTCCAGTCCAGGTAAGAAAGAGCGGATACTTACTTTGGAGCAAAAAATCCAGGAGCTGCAGCTTGAGTTAGATGGTCTGCAATCCCAACATCATCATTCCAAAGACGACATCGAACTGTGGGTATTCAAGCAAAGGTCTTGTCCGTCACCACTTACGGAGGCGGTCAAAGATGACACGGAATTTGAAGCCAGGCTAAGCAGTGATTCATCGAGCACTACTGAGAAAGCCGAAATCACTGTCTCCGCGCAACCGGGGTCAAGTTTCAGCAACGAGGCCGGTACTAGTGCTGACCATGCGAAGAGAAACGCTGGAGCCCTTGGATTGGATCACACTATTCCGACTTCAAATTCTCTTCCATCCATGGCCGATGATACAGCTGTCTCCCAAGGATCCCCGTCTCGCTATGAAGATGGCGAAGCCTCCTGGGTAGGTTCTCGAGCTGACCTGGAGGACAAGCACATTTGTACTAATCCTAACCAATTATGGTCCCTGACCTCTGTTTCCGAACTTGTCGAGTCTATTACCGAGGAACTCACCAAGTTACTCAGGGTAGTTATTAAAACCCCCAGTTCGTCATTACGGAACAGCTTCAATGACCTGGAGAGGAGAGTGAAGGTTTGGAGTAATATCACCTCCAAAGCTTTGCAGTCCAAGGTGTCGAAGACCGGTGCTCTTGAGGAATGGAAGGAGCTAGTTGTCGACTTTCTGAGTAAATCTCGCCAGGAGCTCATCACTCTTCACCAGCGACTTCATGATTGTGAGGATGAATTGTCTTCAGTGGACAAGTTACGTGCTGAAAGCCTCGTAGCTACCCAGACCATCACTTTCCTGAAAGATGAAATTAACAAACTGGAGGCTCAAAATTTCACTGATCACATCGAAAGAGAAGAGGAGGTGAATGTGCTGAAGAAGGATCTGGAATACGCCCACACTCTCATTTCTGCTGCTCAGAGGAAATCGTCGGAGGAGCACAAGTTAGCTCTAACATTAAAGGATCAACTCCGGAAGGTCGAACTGGAGTTAGAACATTCGAAGCAAGGCTGGGCAGCCGAGCAGGACTTCATCGATTCGTGCTTCGGAGACGAAAGTGGCGATTTATTCGGAGAAGACAGGTCATTCAGCAAGAAGGATGTGGACACTTTAGAGAAGAAAGTTGAGGAGCTCACCAGCCGGCTGGAGGAAAACGAGAGAGAGCTTGGTGAGTTAATGGTCATCAGTGGAATTGATTTTGACGCAGTCGTATCTGCAAAGTTGAAGAGGATGGAGCAGAGGCTAGAAGATTCTAAAGCTTCGGAGTCCCTTGTCCGAGCAGAAAAGACAGAATTAGCATCACAGGTATCCTGGCTAAAATCCAAGCTTGCCGAGGTTGAGCACGAACTCCATCTTGAGAATCAGCAGCACGTGGAGATTCTGATTCGATATGAGGAGGAACAAGGTCAGCTTGAAGCGTCATCTAGGTCCGAGCGGGATTCTCTGAATGCCAAAGTGACACAGCTCGAGAAACTTCTGGCAGAGAAAACCAAGCAGTTTGAGACTGGTCACCCTGGTTCACCTACTTACCAGGTCCACAGGCTGCGGGCAAATGTACTTGCTCTTGAAACCAGCCTAGCGGCCGAACGGCAGAAGGGTATAGACAGCGAGGCATGCATGGAAGCCCACCTAATTAAGGAGAAGGACAAGAATAACGACTTAGAGACTAAGCTCACCACATTGCAGAGCACTGTCACATCACTGAAATCTGAGTTGAGTGAAGCTGAACAAAGGGAAAAGCGAGCACAAAGTCAGATTGAGAAGCTCATGATAGAGTTAGGTATTGCGAAGGAGGAGGTGCTCAAGTGTGAGGTCCGAATGCAGAAAACTATACGTCAAGCGAAGGAGGACGTAGATGCTGAGAAGAGGAGGCTCGAGGAGAGCCACAACAACCAAAAGCAAATGGAGTGGCACCTTTGCCGGCAAATTGAACTGACAGAGGGCCTCGAGAGAGAGAAAGCCAAGATTCGAGAAGTACTGGAGGAGTTTGAGATTCAAAATTTGGCCCTTGAGAAGGAAAGGGACGACCTTAGAACAGCGTACATGCAACTGGCAAGACAGACAGCTCAAAGAGTTGGGTAAGTGTCTCATTATTGCCCTTTGCTCTCTCCTTGTAGATTACAGCCATTCTTTGTCAGGGCACCAAGTCCCACGATTTTAACTCTAACTGGCTGGTTGTGTATAGCTATATAATTTTTGTTAGTTGGTTGAAGTGTGTGTTTCACTGTAGCGTGCTCTAAGCAATTCTCTCAAGTAGGAAATTGCCACTGTTGCTTTATCACATGGTGAAGACTCAGATCATGCACTTCAGTAGCTGTTAGCTTTCTAGCTCCAGTCGAGCAACACAGGAGTGGAGCTGTACATGGGAAATCTTAAACCGAATGAATTACCCACCTCAGAAAGCAGAGAAATTTCTGCTTGAAACTTATCAATCACACAAAGAGTTGTATTTGTATCGAAACTGTTGAAGGCAGCTGTGCCGCTTATTAAAGTCTTGTGACTATCTGTTCATAAAACGATCTGGCGATTTCTTCTTTTTTTATAACGTTTGAAAGCTGAGTGTAAACGCTGTAGGCCGCTCTTCACTATATCACCAACACCATTAACAAACTTTGCATGTCTTGGTATGAGTTTTCTTGACCTCAATTTTTGTATTAGGTTTTCTATGCCGACTTCCTTGTGAGAACCTTACCGGCTAAGATCAATACTGCAAACGTGTTTCACCTTTCTTTACATCTGAGACTCCCGGAGTATTACCGCTGCCTCTGAGTCAGTCAGTAATACGCTGCTGACATGATTTCAGCAAGGCATTTGGCCAACTGGTGAATTCTAGTGGCATTAATTTCGAGTAGTTCTGATGTAAACATTCCCCCCGCACTTACAGACTCCCCTAAAGTCACCTTTTGTGCTTTGTGTATTTTTTACAGCTTCCTGTGCGGACTTTTCTTCTTTAGACCAAATCGAAAATTTTGAGTCGTTTGGGCTTCATGGATTGCCTGTCTTGGCTACAGAAGGGGCAAAGCCGACACTTACCACATTCCTTTGCGAGCTGGATTGAGAAAGGACGAGATTCTAAGGAGTTGACCTCGTTCAGCTGATATCCGCATCTCCTCGAATTTTCCTGAACGTGCAAGCGTTGCAGCTGTAAGCCCCATAACGCGTGATCAGATCTCTCTTTCACAGCTTGCCAGAAAAATCCTTGCCGATCAAGTTCCTGATGCCTGTGTACCTCTATCATGGGAGAGGCAGCAGACGGAGGGTGTGACAGCATCCCAAGTGATACTAACGTTGACGAGCCCGCCGAGCAAGTGTAACCAGTCTCCGACGAGTCACGACTTCACTCAAAAAACTGGTGTTCGTTTGTCTATTAGCTGCTATAAAGACGATGTTCCTTCAAGTAGCCAGCTCCAAGGCGTGCTGGAGTTTGGGAAATATTTTCTTTTGGTCTCTGGAATGAGGATATTGGGAGTCTTTTGTTACGAAAGTACGTGTGGGTGTGGATTGTATGAGATGATGCATTTACTGTGTGTTATCCGGCCAAATACACAGATACTGTACAGAATTCGCGTAAGGCCGTCATTAGATTATCATCTTAACTTTACTAAACGCTGTCCCTGTAAGACGGGTGTCACGATGTCGAATCATCCGCTGGGAGGAACATTTTAGGTGACACAGAAGCCAGAGTAAACTGTTCAGTTTTCTCACATCGTTATAAATTGAGAGTTGTCAGTCGATCTGATGTACACGCCCAGCCCACTCTGCCTGAGTACCATCTCAGGTTCTTTGTTGACCACAAGGTAAATCATTAATACACCAAAAGTGGACTTTTGATAAGATCCATCGCCTTATCCACAATGTCCCATATCATCAATTTGTGACAACACGAGCGAGAATCAGAATTCGTCGGTAGGAAGGTAACGTTGAGAGGATAACCGAAGACGACGAGAAGGAATTGTGCACCATCTGCAGACATGGAGCAAAGTTGAAACGAAGTCCTTGCCCAAACCATGTCTGTTGGGCACAGATCTGTGAAGCTCATCTCTAGCATGACCGTCACGGAACAAGACATTGATTTACGTTGGTTGACGCTGGCATGTATCATTGCCTATAGCAGGTTGACCTCGTGCATACTTCAACCGCTGTAAGAAGGAAGAACTGACCGGAACACTAGAGAAGGATTTGACTGACATTTATGTCAAAATCTGACTTAAAATGTGATGTTTATGCAGAGAAGTGGGCAAGACGACTCTTCGTCGTCAGGAGTCGAAGCGCATGAAGATGGATCCACCCGTCACTGTACCGAAGCAAGGATTGCCTACAAGGGCGAACTAATTCGCCAGAGCCTTCTCCAGGGTATCTACAACAATTTTGTAGTGGGTAACGACAACAATGCAATAGAGCATGAATGTTTGTAATGTATGAAAGAGTGCTTCATAGATGCATGAGAGGACTTCCATTCTAGCCAGTGGCGATCGTTAAATTAAGATACAGGTTACACTCTCCCATGTAAGTGCTGTGTTTCATGCAAAATATAATTTCAACATTTTCAGGTTCTACGACAACGACGTGTGCTACCTTGATAGACTTTGTAGGTGTTTAATTGATCTCAATGACCTACCTGAACAACATAAGATATAAATTTCATCATACAGAACCAGAAGTTAATGAGAGTGTAACTTCCCTGAAACGAGAGACAGAAGTCAACGGGAAACCTTGTCATTGGAAGTACTCAGAACCAAGTGACATTGACAACTCTTTGTCAATCACTAACTGAAAGGTGACGGAATATTGGAGATACCAGAAAAGACAATGAGAAACTGGGGATTGGAGCTACCATCGGGAAGGGTTTGCCACGTTTCTGATAAAGATAGTGACTCTTCTTACACTCATGTACAGTTAAGACGAGACGGAGGTGTATAAATCGAAAGATTTCACGTACGAAGAGTCTCGGTAAGAGATTGAATGTCTTACACAACTCGGTTGACCCTTGCAACTTCACTTGTTTGCTATTAGCACACATTTCTCCTTGTGCTTTTTACCTGTTTTTGTTTGTTATTTCTTGTCGTCTTTTCTTTCACATCACAATTCCTTTCATTCGTACTTAAGTCAACTTTGTTGAAGCCTTTTAGAATCTTGTTTCCCACAGAACTTTACATAGGCTTTCTCCAGTTGTTATCAATCCAACTTTGCAGCATGATGAGGCTGTATGTATCCTAGCGGTGTGTCTCGAGACTTCAAGGTTTGTCCCTATTATTCATAAACAGTGTTTTTAATTCGTGTGCCAGCACATGCATCTTGGGCCTACATCGTCTAAGCTGTCGCGTGAACTCCGGCTATAATCAAGTCTTTTACATCTTCATTATTTGTCATTCGCCTGTAAGAAGTTGGGGATTGACGCCCATCAAATAGCTTGAGTTTTGAAGGTTTGATCTCGGATCTTATCATGGAGTCCTTTGGTTAGTTGATGATGGATTTAAGAGGTTAGTATCGAAACTTAAGAAGCTTGCATGATTTCTTATGCAAGCTCTTGGCTTTCATGAGCTCAGACGAATAATTGAGATATGTTTCCAAGAGATGTGTAACGGGGAGTAGAAGTTGATATCATGGGACGGGAAAGCTACAAGTCTTTCAATTTTAAGAGACAAGAAAACGAGAAGTAGAGTGACTCTATAACTATAAGAGTTCTCTTCGTTTCTTACGAAGTAATAATTTAGAGAATTTTTCATACTCGTAGTGATTAAATAAACATTCATGTAAAAAACTATCACTTCACATTCTTAGTGAAAGAAATTGACTCCTTCTTGTAGGTAGAGCAAATGCATCAATAGTTTTGAAAAAAATTGTTATTATGTGTTAAGAGTTAAATCGCGTCTTGTTAGCGCAGGTTGATGTTACTCTAGTTAGTAGTATTGGGAATAGTATGTTACTATATAAAAGAAGGGAGCGGCTAGTTATCCCTCAGTTTGGCTCAATTATGCCTCACCCTAGGCTAATGTGCACTACTTCTCCATTTTTATTTATGCCCGCGAAAATTATATCACGGAGCTCTAGTAAATATAGAGATAACTCTGACCAAACACATAGCTCTGTTCAGTAGGGTGATCAATCACAGAGCTTTGTTCACCCTACTGAACAAAGCTCTGTGATCGATCACCCTAGGGATGGGCATGACTCGACTCGACTCAAGTCGACTAACATTGGGCCGCTATTCGACTTAGTCGAAGTCGAGTCGGTTAGTCGACGATTAAGTCAACTCAAGTCGATTATATTGGGCGTTTCAAGCCGTATGAAGCATGGTGCTGTATTTTACAATGAGCATTGAAGTTAAGAACATTTCGCCATGTCGTCCAAAAGACGATTCCATGAATAGAGTTTCATGACCATTTCCAGATTTTTGTCAACAAGACGACACCGGTTAACGCGCGCAAAATGGCCGCTATCGGAAAAAGACAACTCAGAAGGAACCGATGAGCCCTTGCACATAAGTGTATCGCGCGCCAGCAGCGCAATATGCGCGAAGCGCTTGGTGCCAGTTGCGTGCCATCATTCGATGGGGTCTGCATACGAATCATCCGCTTTTCGAGTAACATCAAAGAACACGTAGATCTCATCTTGCGTCGACGTTGGATCGGGAGCGCCGCCATCTGTAACACACGACGCGCGCTTGCGCCTAGCCTTCTCCAGGAGGGTAAGAGATTTCATTGCTTCCTGCTTAGCACTTGGATCGGAAAAGTTGCCATAGCCGTAATCAGTGGCAAGCTTGCTTTGCACAAGATCCTTCAAAGATATGAGATCATCAGGATGGTTTGGCATGGCGGGATCCAATACCACAAACAGTTTTGCAAGTTGGGTGTTCAGACTGTCTTCGTACTTGTTCAACTTGTTAAGCATAGCCTCGGCCGCTTTCTTTGCCAGAGGAGTGGTAAAACCGTTGGTAAATTTTTGGTCATAGTATCCTTGTAGTGGCTCTCCAAAGATTCAAAGATTAAAGGAAGCATTCCAATAATGACATACTTCGATTCACTCGTGGTGGTGGTCAGCTCATAGGCCGGTTGTAAGAAGTCTTTGACAAACTTGACTTTATGCCACTCTAGTGCAGTGAGATAGTCGAGTTTGTGTGAAAATTCAACAATGTTCAACATCGATTCAAAAAATTCTTGTAAATCGAAGCACGCATCAATCATCTGTAACAGATTGTTCCGTCGATTATCCACATCCAAGCCAGGAACATTCTTTGTGGTAGGTTTGCCAAGCTGAATCTGCACCTGCTTGAATGACTCCCGCATCTGCGTGTTGCGTATCATCTTCAACATCTCGCGGATCTTCGTCACCACAGGCTTGACCAGCGTCTCACAATCGACAACGGCACAATTAGTAATGTGGCATACACATCATATATGCTTGTCCGAGTCCAAGAACATATTGTATTTTTGGTTGAGAGATTCCATCACAATTTTCATGGCTGGTGGCATTTCAGAACCGCTATCGGTTGTGATTGCTCAAGTTTTTGTCATCAATTTGAAGTTGTCCAAGATTTTCAAGATCAATGTACTTGTCGTGTGCATGTTGTGCGGGGACAGAAAATATTTGAATTCCAAAATAGACGACCGTTGGGTGCACTGCAAGGTCATAACGAAGTATCCGCGCATGATCCTCGACGACCAGCCATCACAAGTCAACGTCACACGACCAGGTATATCAACAACAATATTGCAGAAGTTACGTAAAGCAACCTCATATCGATCCTCTAGCCCTCGAACAACTATGCGCCTCGAAGGAAGACGATATAAGTTGTTGAGGCGGCTGACAAAAATTATGTTATAGAATTCAATGATTTAAGAAGTGTCTTGACAGCGTTATATTCATGATACACTGGTAGTCCAATCACTCTACAATTGTCACAATACATTGCGTTCTGACAATCATTTGGAAAAGATGATTCCAAATAAAGTTTCAAATCTTCCAAATTCATTTGATTCTTCAATCCCTAGTACTTGTGCGCAAAGTACAAATAACAAACTTGTGTCCTTCCGTTTTGTGTTTCACTCTTGGAAATTGACTTACTATTTTATCTTCAAACTCCACTTTGAATTTTCTTGTATTGGAGTCCAGTGAAACTATAACATATGAGCTTTGAGTTATTTTAGATAATATAAACTTTCAATTTACTTGTTCACTCATTTTTTCACAAGGTGAAAAACACTGAAAAGATTTCTTCCAAAACACTCCGTAAGTGACAAAAAATAAAAAAAAACTAAAAAGAAAAAGTTTTGAGTTCAATCTTTTTTTTGTACCCCTAGATTTCAGAATTATAACAATTTTGTCATAAGTTTTCAACATACATAGAAAAACTAATCAACTTTGTAGACATTTTTATGAGAGCTATTCTTTTGTACTCATCAAAAGTATGTGAAGTTCAAATACTCAAAAATTTGGATATATAAAAAATTTAGATTTGCAATAAAAACTAGAATACACTTC